TGATTTTTTGAATTTGGAGATGTTTTGGAGGATTTAAGAAGATGAAAAAGATAGGGTTTAATTGGGTTGTCGCGGCAGTTACGAGCACGTACGGTGGCGGCGGCGGCAGCAGTGAGGTTTGGAGAGGAGAAGAAATGGTGGAGGTTTTTTTTTTTTTTACAACAAAGGGTTTTTTTTCTTTTTTTTTTTATTTGGTTTTTGAATAGGTAATTTCTAAAAAAAATTGATATAATTGATATTTTGTATGAAAGGGTGTTTTTGTACTTTTCTTTTTATTTTGGTATTAAATAAGAAAAAACTGATAAATATGTACTCAATTTTGGTTTTAAACTTGGTAGTATTTAAGTAAGCAAAAGTTGGAATTTAAAATAGTTGCCCACAATATCTAATTATTAAAATTTAAAAGTCGCGTTTTGCATTTCATCCTCTTGACTACTAGCATCATTGTCGCCATGTGACACCACACGTGCTCCACATAATAATCATTGGTTCAACAATATTTATTTATTTAAAGTTTTAACAAAACTCTAATCTTGCACAAAATTACCGTTATTATTTATTTTTTTAATTAATTAATTATTTTCTTTATTTTCTTTTTGTGTGTCTTGCACAAAATTCCTGCATTTCAATCTCCATAACATGTTTCACACATTATATATATGCGATTGAACTTTAGATTTTATTTTGATTATACAACGAAATTGAGTTTGAAATGAATAAATTAATGTTGTATAAATTTTTCTGTGTGTTGGAAAAACATGCACCAAATTGTCCACTATTCATTTATGTTGTTAGAACCATACCGGACGACTTATTGAACGTGATTTGGTTGTTCATCTTGCCCGATTCAAAATATATATAAAAAAAATAATAAAAATAAATAAAAGAGGAAATAATACGACCGCAATGCAAGAATATTGAGTTGAACCGGTTGAATTTGGTAAAAATTGGATTGAGCAAGTTTAAGCAGGTATAAAACCGATTCAATCGGATAAACTCGAGTTTAACCTAAAAAAATTGTATTTTTATGTTTTACCAAGAATTATCATATGGTAACTTTAATTATTAAAGTCAATCTTTATGGTTCTGAGTTAGTTATATATATATATATATATATATATATATATATATATATATATATATATATATATATATATATATATGTGTGTATTAATCTGACTTCACGAACTATTGTTTGAATAAATTCAAATTGAGTAAAGGTCAAAAATATATATTTTTTGTTTGGTGACAGATTTATTTATTTGTTGGTTCTTTTGCAAGAGAGATTAAGGTTGACATTAATTTTTAAGACATGACGAACAAGTATAAGCACACAAAAATGAATCTAATGCTGACTAGGAATGTTTTTTTAAACCAAATCTCTATTCTTTATCTAAAACTCTAGTCGTCTAAAATGCTACTCTCTCTAAGTCTTTTAAGTTTATATAGTTAAACATTTGTATATTAATACGATGGAGCTAGCAAAATTTTATTAATTTAGTGAAATATTAAATTATCGAACTAATAATTTTATATATTTTCATCGAGTCAGGATTCGACGAAATTATTATTTAATCGAAGTTAATAATTTATCGATATTTTACTGTATTTAGCGATAGTTTTTCTCATATTATGTGCCGTTATAACATTTAAAAATGAAATTAATTTTTGTTTACTAATTTTGCCACTTCATAAATGAGTATTTATGTGTAGAGAAAAAAAAATCATTAATAGACTTCTTAATACATGTAAAGGGTAATTTTGGCTTTTACTATTAAGACGAGGGGCAAATTACGGTCACCCCTTAGGTATGACAAACTTACGAAAAAACACATCTTGTTTAGGTAATTACAACCACCCCTTCTTTTAAATATTTTTAAATAAAATTTATGTAATTCGCTTATTTACTGAATCAAATCGTATATTCAGTTCGGTAAACGGCATGAAATGTTGGCGTATCGAAATTTTTGTTTGATTTTACCGAATTAACATCCCTAAATTTACCTCTGAAGATGTCTTTTCGTAAGATAATATATACATAGTTGAGAAGGGTGGCTGTAATTGCCCAAACAAGAGAGGGTTTTCGTAATTTGACCATACTCAGAGAGGTGGCTGTAATTTGCCCTTAAAATGAATGGTACTCCCTTTCGTTTCACAATATTTGTCACTTTTAAACTATATATCAGTTTTCAAATTTTAATGATCAATTACATATTGAAGAGATGACTTTATTGGTGAAAGATACTAAACACCATAACGTAGATTAATAAAGGCTTTCTCGTAAAAATAGCTTAAACAACATGTTATTTATTTCCTTTTTCAATTGTGATTGGTAATATTTTTATAAATACCTTTGATTGTATATTTAATAAATTTAGCAGGAGTATGCAAACCACATTCACATTCGAAAAATAATGTCAACTTCTGCCCCTCAATGGTGGTTTAGTGTGGAACAAAGAGCATATGTCAAATTACTTGACTTTGTATTTAATATTAACAATGTTTTGAAAACCGGATTGGCCGGTCCGACCGGTTCAACCGCGAACCGGTGTCAGATCCGGTCCGGTTGAACTTGAAAACCCAAAAGTGTGTAAAAACCGGTTCAGTTGTTTGAGAACCGCGAAAATCCCGGTTGAACCGTATAAACTCGGTGAAAACCAGCCCAAAAAACCGGGTTTATGCAACAGAAAGACAAAAAAATTCTGAGAACAAACTGAAATCTTTATATGCTTATATCAAAAGCTGGGTCTTTGAAGGAGGTTCTCCATAAGATTAGTACAAGGTACTGTGAATCATGGTGGGGATTAAGAAAGAAAGAAGAGAAAATAAGAAACAAAAGAAAAAAAAAATCAGTAATATTTTGATGTGGAAAGTAAGATGAGAAGAGGAGGTAGTCTTCACAAATCACATATTAGGACTTGAATAAATGGGTGTATTTAGTCATTTACATAGAAGTTTTAACATTATTAATGCATATAAGAATTATTATTATTAATTTACTCTCTATAAATGTATATATGGTAAATGAAATAGGATTATTAATTTATTGTTTGGTATTTATGATATATTTTATATTGGTGATGAATAGGTAATTTTGCCTATATTTTTTGACATTTTTGTATTTTAGAAACTATAAGAATTAAATATAAATGATTAAAAATAAAAAGATGAAAAAACCCGGTCGGACCACGGTTGAACCGGTCCAACCACGACCCAGTTGGTGGTACGGTTCAATGTCCGGTCCGATTTTCAAAACATTGAATATTAATGTATTTTAGATCGAATTTGTCACACATAATTAACATAGCGTGATTTATTCAGTACATTTATATATTAATAAGTAAAGAAGATATTGGTTTAATATCATGTAAGGTGTTTTTAGTTAGTAAAATAAAAAAAAATCGATGTTATTGACTACAGTTCGAATCACCTGCGGCGGATATTTCCATTAGATATAATTTATTTATTTATAAACAAGAAATATGAAATCAATAGTCAATAATACTAAAAATAGAATTAAGGAACAATAAAATATACGGCGTGGATTAGTTCAAAAGATGAACCATCCCCATCATCGTTCTTATCCTAGGCCCTAGGGCTAATTCTTTATTTAATTTTTGGGTTCAATAATTATTTTATTACATATAAATAATGTAAAAAGAAATACTATTTAATTGGCTTTTGACCTTTGACCGGGGAGTCACGTGCGCGCATCTTTTGACCGAAGTAATCTCGATGATTCCGGGAGACGCGCACGTGCACCTACTGTCTCTTTCTGGCATTAACAATTAATTATTAAAACCCTAATATATCCTTAAAACTCATGATGGTATATCTAAGTTTCATTATTAAATATTTAGTTATATGTGGGTCCCACTTAAATTATATCTAGGATTCTCTTATATATGCTGTACTTTGGAGTACTATGGTTCACACTATTTTGCCATTAGATTTCTGCCAATGTAATCATCCAAGAAACAATTTTATGATACACCATTTTGTGTGTAACGGAGGAATATGCAGCCAATTGCCCAATCATATAATTTTATGAGATAAATTTATACTCTCGTATAATAGCTTGTAAACTATACAAGAGACATAAACCACACTAGACTAACCATGTGTGACAAGTTCAACTTAACGACTATTGACAAAGAGATTCGAACTTGGGTCAATTGACATCAATTGACACAAGCTCAATTGCTCGTTTCGTTTCCCTTGTAAGGTTCTACTGAGTAAATACTAGGGGTCTAGTAGCATGTTCGGTTGACAAGATCATTTATACACTTCTTCAAACACGCTACTAAAGTCAAAATCCGTTGTTAAATTAAATGCTAATATTGCATTAAATTAGTAGCATCCCTATATTCACATTAATTTAATAGTGGGTGACTAAACAAGTAAAAGACTATTTTATTCTTCAAACTACGTGTTAATTTTATTAAATAAATTGATTTTATAAACAAATCACATATAATATAAGAATTTAACAGATTTAATACAATATCTAATTCAATGTATCGAACATCTTACTAACTAAGTAATTAATTAGCGAGTAGAGAATTAATCCAATCTCGTGATAAGATAAAAATGTTAGATATATTATTTTTAAGTACAATTCCTCAATATTAGATTCAAAACATGAATAATTATAACACAAGAACTAAGTAATAATCAATCTTGTTTACTCAATAATAACATATGTGTACCCTTTGAATAAATAAATTAAAAAAAAAAAAAAACCTATTACTTTAATGAAGTGTAAGCCAGTTTCCCATTTTTAAAACACAATATTGAATATGTAATGATATATCTAATTATCTAAGCTATAATAATTCAGTTTGTCCTAGAAAAATTTTCCATACAATTTTCTGCACATTTACCTAATTCCTAAACATTTTGCCCAACGTAAAAATCGAGAAACCTTACTAGGGAGGTTATAATCGGATAAAGAAGATGGATCGGTTGACAAATCTTCGGCGTTAGACCAAATGTAAACTCCTCGTTCTTGCCTACTACCTGGAACCGTGTTGTCTAGTACAAACGCAATCAATAGTGTCACCACCATGCTCATTGACATAAGTGCATTTACTGCGAAATCGAGCTGAAAAAAAACAAGAAAAAAAAGGGAATTAAGCAATCGAAGCAAGAATTTGAAGTGCATGGAGGGTTTTATTTATTCTATTTAGGAATGGAAGTCGGACGTATATTTCCAAAAGAAAAAATTGGAATTGAAAAACTAATTCCAATTCCTTTGCAAAAGAATTCGTAAAATCGAAAACCGGAAAGAAAAATTGTAAAAAAGACTTGTTCCAAAGTCAAAAATTTCGGAACAGGATCGATAGAATTCGGAAATTTCATTTTTGTGGTCATAAAATACATAACAATATTGAAATGATGTGTATTTTTTGAAAAGAATCGATTTTTTTTAGTTCGGAAGCCATTATGTTTTCAAATTCCATTAAAAAAAAACGAAAAAATCAATTGGAATCGGCGGAATTGGGGAAAACCATTTTTTAGTCACCTACAATAATATTAATATCACAAATGTAATTTTTGGAAAAGAATCGGAAATCAAAATCCAATATGTAATCCAATTCCATTAAAAAAAAAACCGGAAAATCGGATTTCAGAATAAAAAGAATAGTTCCAAAATCAGAAATTTTCAGATCAAAATCGTCGGAAATTCATAAAAAATACATAACCATATCAATGTATAGATACATGATAGAAGATCTACCAGGTGTGTATATATATAAGGATCGATAATCTTACTTGTTTACTTCCGGTGTGAACAGGTCCATCGGAAGCTGCTGAATAAGGGATAAGATAACTAGGTAGAATCAAAGTGGAATCTGGTGGATACTGCTGAACATAGGCTGGGATTGATAAACCGAGAAATAACGAAACACCGACTATTGTAATATTTCTAAAACTTGCTGTTTGAGTGTACTGCAAAGTCGAAAGACCTAAAGCCACGACTAGGGCCCACATGAAGCATAGAACAGCAGCTGCTAGAGCTTGTGGTATCGAAGCGAGGATCGCACCGATTTTACCTAAGAAAAATACGTAACAAATATATAATTAGTTAAATGTTTAGCAATTCTTGAAAATTAAAAAAGAAAAAATCGGAAGTGGAAAAAATAATTCAATTTTATTCCAAAAACATTGGGAAAAGTAAAAAATTAGAATCGAAAATTCGGATTGGGATCGTCGGAATCCAAAAATTCAAATGTGGTCACGTCTAATACAAAATGCATAAAAATCATAATAGTATTGATCAAGTGTAATTTCCGGAAAACAAATAGCCGGAATTTTGAGAAATTAAAATCGGATCGAAAATAGGAATCTAATATTTATTCCAATTCGGTTCCAAAAGAAATCGGAGAAATTGGAATGAAAAATATTTGTTCCAAAATCGGGAATTTCCGAATCAGAATAGGTAGAATTTGGATTGGAATCGTCGGAATCCAAAAATTCAAATTTGGTCACCTCTAATACAAAATGCATAAACATCATAGTAGTATTGATTAAGTGTAATTTCCGGGAAACAAATAGCCGGAATTTTCAGAAATTAAAATAGGATCGAAAAGCGGAATCTAATATTTATTCCAATTCAGTTCCAAAAGAAATCGGAAAAAAAACGGAATTCATAACGAAAAATACTGTTCCAAAATCGGAAATTTCCGAATTAGAATCGGCAGAAATCGGTAAATTATAAGTTACCTATGAATGAGAAAAGGATCATGAAAACTGCTCCAACTTCGACAACTTTTCTACTCGCAACCTTAGTTACATCAATCGTATGCACATTTTCGGTCAAAGTAGTTGACCCTGTACCCGAACCCCAAAGTCCAGCTAATACACTGCAAAAACCTTCTAATCCAATTCCTCTACTAACAATGCCAGCTGTCGGAGCCTTTGCGTTGATTCTCATCGATGTAGTATGATACGTCCCCACCTGCGAAAATTCCGGTTTTTTCCGTTAATTTCAATCTAGTGGATAATTTCTTGCTTATTTTTCGTTAATTTTTCGTTAAGTTTAAGATCGAATTTTGTAATCAATTGGTTTTCTTCTAGTAACTTTCTAATGGATCTAGGGGACTATACTTTTATTTTCAAATTATTTATTTCTTTATTGAAGGGTTAAATACAATTTACACCCCTAATGTACACCATCTGTAACACTTACCACTAAAGTATCATTTGTAACACTTACACCCCTCAAGCTCAATTCAATTTGTATTTTAAATCCTAATACCTTAAGATTTTATTTTTTATTTAAAATAATAACTAAAAGAATAATTAAATTATACAACTAAAAATATCTGTTGAAAAATGCAATATTTTAAAATTTAAAAATATTATCTTGTATTGTTGGGTACATATTTAATAAATAACATCTAATTGTTATTGGACCAATTAATCGAATATATTCATATCGATAAATTTTAAGAAATCCATACATACATAATAGTAATCTTAAGTATTTAAATTTATTTTAGTTCATTAATTTCTCAAAATATATTTTCATTCATTATTATACAATATATATTACTTTTTATTTTTTTTCCAATAATTTAATTTTAGTTACTTTTCAATTTTTATGATCCAATAATTATTAGATTGTTATCTTTATTATGTTTTAATTTTAAAATATAAAATATTTGATGCAGAGGGGTAAGTGTTACAAATGATACTTTAAGGGGGTAAGTGTAACATAGGCTATACATCAAGGGTGCTAAGTGTATTTAGAGCATCTCCCACCCTTAACACCATCTTTTCACCAAATGCTATTTTTGGTGGTGAAAAAATGGTGTTATCTCACACCCGTAGCACACCAAAATAGTGTATTTGGTCTCCCACCAATTCCATCAAATTTTACACCAAATAATAAAATATTAATATTTCACTATTTTACCATTTATAGAGAATAGAATTTGGTTTGGTCTCTCATGGCATTTCACCAAACATATTACAAAATTATAAGTATAATGTTAATTGTAAATTTTGTCTTATTTATTATCAAAATATTGATTATGAATTAATCTTAAACAATGATTTTATTAAGTATATAATTTAAAAATTATGATAAATATCAAAAATTTATTGAAACATGAATGAAAATCGACTTAGATTATTATACATAGGGCAAATTACGGCCACCCCTGAGTTATGGTCAAATTACGAAAACCCCTCCTGTTTGGGTAATTATGAAATACCCCTCCATAGGTAAATTTAAGGATGTTAAATCGGTAAAACCGCACTGAAATTTCGGTACGCCAACATTTTATACCGTTTACCGAACTGAATATACGATTTGGTTCGATAAATAACCGAATTACATGAATTTTATGTAAAAATGAAGAAGGGGTGACTATAATTACCCTAACAAAAGGGTTTTTTTTTCGTAATTTGGCCATACCTCAGGGGAGTGGCCGTAATTTGCCCTTATACATATAATAAAACCACACAAACAATAATTTCATAAATTATTGCCTAAAAATGTTAGAACATAAATTAATTATAAAAACATTACAACATTTTTTTGGCCAAAAAAATTATATCATTGGTAATCACAAAAAAATAGTTAATATAATAATTTTATATGCTAATTATAGAAGGGTGTTAATTACACCAAATCCTATTTTCACTGCTATATTTGATAGAAAAAATAGGATTTGGGGGAAAAATGGTAAAATGTTGGAAGAGTGGGAGATGAAAATGTCTTCACCAAATGTTGGTGAAAATATAGGATTTAGGGATATAGTGATATAGAGTTTGACCAGGGTGGGAGACTAAACTAAATCACTATAATTTTAGGTGTATTGGTGATTTAGAAATTTACGTTGGGAGACTAAAAACACCTAAATTATGTGATAAATATGGAATTTGGTGATGGGTGGGAGATGCTCTTAGCCCTTTATTTAATGTTAAAAATTCAATCGAAACCGAACATATGCTTAATATAAAAAAGTGATTCGACTCTGCTTACGAGGCTGTATGATTAATCTATTCAATCTCAAACATTTTTTTTTTGCATAAAACGATGCAAAATAAATTTAATCACAATATAAGGAGGTCACTAACCGAGTCGACTGAAGCAACGAGCGATACGAAAATCATTACTACCGAAGTTCGTAATTTGAAAATCGGAATGCCCCATTGTAAGGGGTACGGGATTCTGACCCAAGCAGAGGTTTTCATTGCACTAGAAACATCTGTTCGGCAGTGCTTCATAGTATATGCATGCTTTATACAAGCATCTACGAGGATGTTCGAACTCGGTATGTCTGAACTGCAGCCTTTGTAGTTATATGCACCGCCAGCTGTCAGAAAAAACGCGTACGCCCATATGATTACTACACTTAGTGGAACCTGCAATTATCCCAAAAAAAAATCGGAATCCGGGTTTTGGCACAAAACGTAATTTGTACGTAATTTTACTTACGGCGTAGATTCGAAAAACTCTGTTGCCAAAGATGGATATTCCTCTAAGGTACTGCAAACCGGAAAATAAATAAATAAATAAGAATGAAATTCGGAAAAAAACTAATTCCAATTTTGTTCCAAAAATAATGGGGAAAAAAAACGGAAATTGGAATAGAAAACTTATTCCAAAACCGGAAATTTGTGGATCGGAATCGGCGAAATTCGGAAAATTCTAATGTTTAGTAACCTGAAATATAAACTACATAATAATATCTATATTATAAATGTATTTTTCGGAAAAAAAAAAATAATTGAATTTTCGGAAATTAAAATCTGATAGGAAATTCAGAAATCAGAATATCCGGAATTCGTATCGAGAAATATTGTTCCAAGATCGATTTTTTTTTTGGATCAAATCATCGTAAATCGGAAATTAAAATAATGATTAATGTATCATATTCCTAGTGATAAATTGCGAAACAAAGTTGTATATACGCCTATGCGGATAGCTAAATGTACTCACCAAGGTAAAAACAAGAACCAATAAAATCTCGGGAAGGCTAATTTCGACACACGCACCGGCTTGTGGAAAGCCGTAGCTGAAAAATGCTAAACCCACCGCCGCAACTGTCGGTGCAACCACAACCGGGTTTATGAACCTGGACCAATACATATGTCGAAAATAAATTACGAAATTACCAAAGAGCCCTCTTCCACATACATATATATATAATTTCTTCAAGATTAGTTTACCTTAAAAATAGAGACATCAAACCGGTGAAACCCATTGTGCACTGGAAAATCGAGCCAACGATTATAGCCCCTTGTAATTCCCTCATAATGTACCGGAATCTCTGTGCACGACAGAGCATGTATTTATAAATTACAATCTAATCGGGGAAAAAAAAAAAAAAGAGTGATCTTTCTTGCAATTACGATGTTTTTTTATCCAATTAAAACGTGATCTCCGAAATTTGTGAAACTATAGGCATAATATTATGTCAAATTACGAGCATGTTAGGCATACGGAGATACTTAATAAAAGCCTAACACATTATATAGTTTCTTGTTTTTCTTTTTGTTTTTTTTTTTCCAATGAAAAGATACGTAAGATTCTGGAAAGTGCTTACATGTTCAGTGAGATTCCGAAACTCGCGCGAATTCATGATAGCTAAAGCCGGGGCCCAATAAACGAACGAACTGCCTTGAACCAACGGGAGGCGAGTACCAAAATACGCGTGAAGTATTGTCGCGATTCCAGATATCAGCAGCATAGTGGAAATTACAGTGGCTGTATCCTTCTGTCGTCATTTCCCCCAAAAAAAATTACGAACAAATAAAATTAATTTCGATTTATCTTTAATGTCAAATTCCGAGAGAGTAGTATCTTAATTCTTACATCGGTTCCACCCATCGAAGGTACGACGATCACGGGAATGAAGATAAGAGAACCAGCCAACGATAAATAGTGTTGCAAACCGTAGAATACAACCGGCACTGCAGTTTGAAAAGGATTAAAACACTACAATAAAAAACCGAACATCGTAATAATCGAGAGATTAAAAACTAACCGTAACCAGGATTATCTTTCAACCCGCACGTCAATTTCGGCGAACGATGCCACCCCCCGTCACCCGAATCCTCTCTATCCGGATCCGGATTCTTTTGCTCCATATTTACCGTATCGCCCCCATTTTCATTCCCACTTATCCCATCTCCCCTCGATTCATTTTTCGTTTCCGAAACTACCCCCGGTGCTACATTCCTCGGAATCTCACTCTCACCTCTAACAACTCCTCCATCTCTAAACCCTAAACCCCCATTTCTATCCCTTTCGTTTCCACCGCCCAAAACGGGTTCGATCTCGGGACCCGTTTTTCGAGTCCTACCCAAAATAGGATCGATATCGAATTTGGGCGATATGGACTCATTCTTTTCAAGAATGCCCTTCTCCAAATCAAATCTACCAACATTACTACTACCATTGTTCAAATCTCTCCTCCCACTTAGAGCACTTCTGTCGGTCTCGCCGGAGAAAGTCGAAACGAAACCGGTACGCTTAGCCCAAGATCTCAACTCTAATGGGTCGTAACCTTTTCTTGGTACAAAAGGCTCAATTTTTGGTTCTAAAACAGATCCCACTTTCTCACTCTTTTTTCTTACACTCTTGTTTTGCCTTTCTGAGTTTGACCCTCCTTCCATTTCACCTTTCTCTCAAATGGGATCCTTTTTTTTTAAGTGAAACGACTGAAAATTGAATCTTTTTTGCTTTTCTTCTAGTCAGAGAGAGAGAGAGAGAGAGAGAGAGAGAGAGAGAGAGAGAAACTCACCGAACTTGCAAAATAGGTGAAGTGAGAGAGAGAGAGAGAGAGAGAGAGAGAGAGAGAGAGAGACTCACGGAACTTGCAAAATAGGTGAGAGAGAGAGAGAGAGAGACTCACGGAACTTGCAAAATAGGTGAGAGAGAGAGAGAGAGAGAGAGACTCACCGAACTTGCAAAATAGGTGAAAGTGAGACAGAGAGAGAGAGAGAGGTGTCGAGAAAAATGTGCGGTGTACTGGTATCAATGGCGGAGGAATGGTGGCGAAGTGGAAGTGAATTTTGCTGACGGAAGCATCTTCCTCTTTATCAGGCACCTTTCTTTTTTTTCCTTTTCTTTTTCTTTTTTCTGTGTTTTTTGGGCTGCCGCTCAAAAGTCGCTATCGGTTTTGGATGCCCTTGTCAGTTGCCGTTGAAACCGTGCAATGTCTATTTTGCCCCTTCCCTTATTCCAAAAAGTTTTCTTAGTTTTGAAGCCTGGTTTGCTTTACTATTTCAAAAACTTTTGGAAATAGATTAGGAATTCTTTTATTTTCTTGAGATAAACTGCCATTAATCATAATTGATTAGTTTCATAATATCTCAGCAGCTTCTTAGAGTTAATTGCACATAATCCCCTTCGTAATTTTGAATTGTCGAAAAAGTTCTCGTGTTAAAAATATTATCACGAACCCCCCCTATATTGTGTTTTACGAAGCACACCGCCCCTTAATTCGAAATTGATGGTTGACTTGTATACAATAACTAAACTACCCATAATAGTTTTTAGTAATATTTCAATTTAAAAAAAAATATATATCTCACAAACAGGGCAAACCAGCTTCTCTCCGACAGTGGTGGGCGGAGATTTTTTTTTCTTTTTTCAGATCGAAAGAAAGAAGTGCAGCGACGGCAATTTTCGGTGGATGGAAATTGTGGATTCAGAAGCTATAGTAGTAGCGGTGGTGGCATTCAAAGGCAGCGACGGTAGCGTGGTGGATTCGGAGAGTCACCTTCGAGTTTGGCAAATAGTTGTGCAGTGACGACGAAGGATTCTTCGAGTTTGACATTCTTCTTCTTCTTCCTCAGGATACGACTTAAGTTTCACAAATTGGAAGAAAATGCTTTGAAGCATTTTTGTATTTTATTTTGGGTTTGGGCAGGGATGTGCCGAAAAGCTTGAGGCGCCATTTTTTCTCCCCTCTTACTTCTTGAATTTGGAATAGAAATGAACTTCATGCTCAGATTTGGGTTTGGATGATGGTTTTTGCTGACAAAAATCATGGTGAAAAAGTGGAGGGCTGCTCTCGAGGTTGAAGAAGAAATCTTATTTGAAAATATAACATTTTGCTGCTTATGAAATTTATGGGGGCATTTTTGGTATTTTCGTTTCAAAAAACGAATCCCCAATCGCATTCACGGCGTGTGAAGCGCACGGTCACCTCACAAGGGCCTTATTTCCTTGACTAATATTCGTAGGGGGTATTTGCTAATTGTTTTAACACGGGGTCTTTTTTCAGCAATTCGAGATTACACATGAGTTGTTTTGGCAAAACCCCCACTTTTTATAAGGAAAATTAGCTAAAAGTCCCTAAAAATATTTAGTATTATTTAAATAACGGTGAAGATTTACCATTTGTGCCAAAAATACTCTAACTGGATTTCGGTACTATCTAAAGTCCCTCGTGCCCTCTAATTGGTTTGTATGGAAACAAACAGTTTTTCTCTTCATCCACTTGAAAAACAGTTAGACATTCAACTTAGACGGACTTAATAATATATATTAAATAAACTAAATATTGTTATTACATGAATAGACAAAGACAAACAACTTATTTGCATAGCCTACTTACATATATAAATAAATTAGCAAGAGCTTAGATTAAGTAATATCAGTGCATGAATACATAGATTTCGTAACACTTAAAAGCTTGCACATACATCTTAGAAAGCTTAGTTGCGATGTTTAGTTACATTAATAATTAAAGAGCTTAGAATAACTATACACAAAGAGGTTACTTGTAGTAAATTGAACAAAAAGTTTAATTAAATCGATCACCAAACACACCATGACCACCACCATCACCAAAACAATAATCGCATTGTTTGTTTTTTGTTTTCACGAACATTTGAAGTAATTATTGCTAATTTTATTGTCCCTGCAGAGGTAAAAAAAAAGTGTAATAAAAAATGGTGTATGTGTGTGCGCGCGTGTGTATGTGTATCATCGCTAGGTGGGCGTGTGATTGTGTGTGACTGTGTGTTGCAGAATTCAACAATAGTAACAGCGAGGAGCGATGGTTGAGCAGATCTGAAGGATTTGAAGGGTTGGCAACTTCAAAATATTTTTTATAAGAGTCAAAGTTCAAACTATATACTAACTGCAAATATTTGTATGTTCGATTGTATGTATATATTAATGGACCCAATATAAAATAAATGTGATTTTGTTGTTACATTAGTATATATAGTATAAATTTAATGCAACATAAGTTAATAAAATAAAACGCTTAAATTCCTAATTAAACACTTAAATATAATATGATTGCATATTTTCTTTATTTCTTGCCCACACTTGAGCTATTAAGTCTCGTAGAATTTACGATTTGCTTCTATCGATAGTGTAGTGTGACATCGTCTCCCATAGTCGCAATTATTGATATGCCGCGTGTTCTCAAATTCACATATAGCTCCCTATATCGATAATAAATAGTGACACGAGCACTACGAGATGTGGTTGATTTTTACGTTGTTGTCCTCGTCATCTGACCCAGCATCAATGTAGTTATCTCGTTCGTATTCCACGATCAAATCCCAAAAGTCATCCGATCCATTAACGGCAGCAACCGAAACCAAAAGTTCCTACATTCAATCAATAATCATCTTCTAATATCCTTTTTTTTTCTGTTTTATCATCACAATTAATATTTAATAATACTTTTCTTTAAATTAATCCAAAACAAAATGGGGGAAAAAAATTCTTGAGGGTACCAGAACAGTGGAGCCGAGCTGAGCCGAATGAGGTCGTCTTGCTGCTCTTTGTATCGGCGCCGAAGGTAGGTTTCGAGTATCTGCATCACGTCGCCGAACTTTATCTTCTTTCTATTCTGTTCCAAGCGGCGAGTCAACTCGGCTAACCTTGCCCTGAGTCGCTCAATCCGCGCCTCCGCCATTGATATCTGCCGCAGCCGTAGCAAAGTATGGTACGATCTCTTTCTGCCGCAACACATGGTACGTATCGATCGGGCTGGTTTGAGTTGAACTTCTTGCTTCGGAAGTTGTACCTTTGATTTGTGTGAGTATAAGTGTGAGTGTGAGCACTGATTATTTGGATTAAGAGTTCGGAATCTTTATACATTTAAATGAAGACCAATTATTTGGTTTGGTGTAATCAAATAATTAGTAATGTACAATTAATTGTACACCAACTTTCGAATTATGACAACGTGTCTGAATATAATTACATAATTTTCAAACTTTTCACAATTTTTTTCTAAAACTAATGAAAGAAACATAGAATATGTGGTTTTGTTTTCTAGTTAATTGTAGTAATTTTTACATTTTAGGGATTGGTTTACTTTTCTTCAATTTATATTGAAATGGATGGCTGTGCAATTCTAATTCAGGACATTTCATTTGGTATGACTCTAATACTATATTCAATGATTATCCCAATTAAAAGTTTAAGCCGTTAAATCCGGCAAAATTGCTCCATTAGGACCGAACGGGTAGATCCATCTATAGGATTGATTCTGAAATGGACAAGATCTGCGGGTTTGAATCTAAGACGGGTTAAAAAATATTAAATATCCGTGAAACCCGTTCCGCCCTGCTATACAAAATAATGTCGTTATGTTTATATTATGTAGTATGATAAATTAATAATGTATAATACATAAGTAAAGTATCTCTTACATGTAAAAAATTATATCTATAACGATGACATCGTCTCGTTTTGTATATGGTTATCTATTTTATTTTAAATCTTGTCTTATAAATGTTTGAATTTAGTTACTCTTTTTTGGATTTATGGTTAAAACGTATTAATTTTGATTTACTCGTGACATTTATTATTGATGTTATTCACGTTTATTTTCAAAATTTTAGGTTTGGTCATTCATTTTAATTTCTAAATAGTTTCGTGTAAAACTTATAAATTATTAATGAAAATAACTTTTTTAATATTACGACTGGTTTCGACTCGTGAAGGTTGAGTTCTACTTTAAACCCGCAATAAACCCTTCTATCCTAAACCCGCAAGTTTGGTTCTTTAAAATTAAGAACCGTTAATTGACAGGACAAGGGTGCGTTTTGCTAGAACTCACGGGTTTTGCGACCCGCTAACTTTGAATGAAAATCAATTATTGTTGTAATTAAATAATTAGTAATATTTAATTGTACCAATTTCCGAATCATGTGTACGTGTTATGGACATAATTTTCAACCTTTTCACTTTATTTTCCCAAAATTAATGAAAGAAACATAAAATAAAAGTGGTTTTGTTTTCTAGTTAATTGTAGTACTTTTTACTTTTTAAGGATTGGTTTACTTTTCTTCAATTCAATAACTTTTAATGGAAACCAATAATTTGTGTTTGGGTAATCAAATAATTAGTAACAACTGTTCCTTATCATTGTATGAATTTGATTTCTTGATCAAAACAATATTAAGTAATGAGCAAGCAAGTGAAGACCAAAGTGGAGTGGAGATGAAACACGAACGATGAAATGATTGATATTTTTTTGAAAGTGAGGTTCATACTGTTCTAACTTCAAATGTGGTTTTGACCATTTTTTCAGCTTGAATTTGACAAAATTTACAATACTTAAATTGTAGTTCTTTTAGTTAACTTTTTAATTAAACTTGAATCAACCAGATTAGATGATATATATCGGGGAGAGAATTATGCACTATTGAGTTACAATTCAATTCGAAAAAACTCAAAACATCAAAATTATAATAAATGTTC